TGCACGATAATGCTAGACCTCATGTGGCTGGAGTGTGTCAGCAGTTCTTGCAAGAGGAAGGCATTGATGCTATGGACTGGCCCACCTGTTCCCCAGGCCTTAATCCAATTGAGCACATCTGGGACATCATGTCTCACTCCATCCACCAACGCCATTTTGCACCACAGACTGTCCAGGAGTTGGGGGATGCTTTAGTCCAGGTGTGGGAGGAGATCCCTCAGGAGACCATCCGCCACCTCATCAGGAGTATGCCCAGGCATTGTAGGGAGGTCATACAGGGACGTGGAGGCCACACACGCTACTGAGCCTCATTTTGACTTGTTTTAAGGACATTACATCAAAGTTGGATCAGCCTGTAGTGTTTTTTTCCACTTTAATTTTGAGTGTAACTCCAAATCCAGACCTCCATGGGTTGCTAAATTTCACTTCCATTGATAATTTTTGTGTGATTTTGTTGTCAGCACATTCAACTATGTAATGAACAAAATATTTAACAAGAATATTTCATTCATTCAGATCTAGGATGTCTTATTTTTGTGTTCCTTTTATTTTTTTGAGCAGTGTATTAGAGGATCCACTGGAAACAGTACCTAAATTAATAGAAAGGATAGAAGAATATGGAAAAGTAGCAGGTTTGAAAATAAAGATAAAACAAAGATATTAACAAAGAACATATTAGCAAGATGAAAGAAAGAGAGGAAGTCTTGGAAATCCAGGTCACAAATAAGGTTAAGTATTTAGGGATATATATAACAGCAAGATGCAGTACACTGAAGAAGGATAACTATCTTAAACTCAAACAACAGATTGCAACAGATTTGATAAAATGGGAAAACTTGCAATTATCATTGTTTGGGAGAATATCTACAATTCAGATGAATGTATTGCCAAGAATTTTTTATTTATTCCAGACAATTCCAATCAGATTAGGGAAAGAGTTTTTTGAAGATGTAAATAAAATAGTGTAAAAATACATTTGGCAGGGAAAGAAAGTGAGAATAAAACTGAAACTGTTACAACATGCAAGAATAAGAGGATTTGCTTTGTCCAATTGGGAATTATATTATCAGGTGACAAACTTGATGTGGTGTAGTAGCAATTGAGATCCTGTAGGTGATGCTAGCGGCACACTGCAGCATCCTAGACCTATAGGGACCTCTTGGCGACTGGCATGACCTCATTCCCTATATCTTGGTGAAGGTGGAAAGTCCCAGACTTTGGGGACTTATAGGTGACTTCATTTTACTAACATCACCATTAGTCTTAAGGATTGGTTGGGAGGTTGTACCAATGTGATTGAGAGGTTTCACCCATGTGGGATCTATTCTCCAATCCAGATGCAGTATCTATGTTGCCTTTGTCTTCTTGTAAAAACCCTATAAATGTAATAAGCACTGCCCATGCAGTCAGACATCTTGGAACCATGCACGATGACTGATCATTGAAACCCATTATTTTGGCACCCAAACAGGGACATGAACCCTGCGGGGCGGGGCTATCAACCCTCCCGGGTGGGCAAAAGCCAACATGCTTACCATCAGACCCCTAAGGTGCGCACCTTTGTCCTACGAGACCCCGGGTCCTTCGGGACCCATCAATGGTAAATATGGGGTGCAATCTATCTCCGCATCAGCAGGAACATGTTCAGGAAATTAGATTCCTGCTACATGAATCAGGTGCAAAAGTACACTGAGGCTAGACAAAAAAAAAGCTGGTGGGGGATAGGGAAATGGTATCCTGAGTGCAATAGAATAGAATAGAATAGAATAGAATAGAATAGAATAGAATAGAATAGAATAGAATAGAATAGAAGGTTAAGGATACCCAAGGCTCCAGTTCAAATATTACATCGATGGTATCAATGCTGTCATGCAGTGGAAACGTCTGGCTCAGCAAAATAATAATAGACTATAAGCCCCCCTCCTGATTATGGTCAGGTAAAAATTGTCACTCCAAAATCTTCTCAAATTGGACTTTCAGCTCCTTCTGAGCAAGCTAAATTTTTTGATTCTCCAAGGCCATTGTACACCCCCATAAGGCAAATATTAAAGGAACAATTAGAAAAAGGGGGGAGATTTAAGCTAGAAACCCAGGACAGAGACACATAAATTTATTTGTTTAAAATTTTTATGTTTAATCTTTTTTAATTATTTAATGCTTAAGGAGATAGAACAATGGATGTAACTAGAATGCAGGCAACTGCTCTCTTCTGATGCACTGGGTGGCAGAAAATTGAATTATGCCCCATTGAGTTCAATGGTCCACAGTTAGCTCTGCTGTTCAAAAGCATGGAACGAGACACAGATCTGTGTTTAAAATAGAGCCCCTCCATAAAGTACATTGGGGTTGATCAAAGAAGATATGGTTAATTTATGCTGTTATGTGTGATAGAAAGAACTAAGAGAAGAAGAAAATGTTTACTATTCTTTTCATGATGAGATTTTCATTACAACTTCTTAGATGTGTATGTATAATAATGTCTAATTAATGTATGCAGAATAGAGCTTAGCTGTGTATGTATAATAATGTAAAATAATTGTATGCAGAATTGAATAGGGTTGAATTGAAAAAAATATCCTTTACCTGTGCATAGCCCTAATTGGAACTGCTGCAGTTCAAAATAAATTAATTGTAACATGTTTGGCAGCTAGAGAATTAAAATTGGTTTTTTGGATTGGGCTTAGAGGTGTGGGAGGCAGATAGGCAGTGGTTCGGGCCCACAATGCCCTTTGTGATTGGAACCACGCCTTGAGTTATCCCAGTGCTCTGAGAACAAACTATAGGTTGTCCAAAAAAAGAAAACGTGGAGATTTAAAGGGACAAAACCTCCCCAGGTCTGGAAATGTTGTGTATGAGAATGTGTCTGTATGTAATCATTTCCAGCCCTGGAGGGTGAGATCATCTACAATGGAACTTCTTGGTTCTCAGAAAAGAATTGTAGGTATGCAAGTAGTTTGATTACAGTACAAATTTGTGAGTATGTTGATGGTAAAAATGTTGGTATAAATGTTTTTGTGTTGACCCCCATCCCAGATTGAAAGGAGAGTAAGAAATGAGAATGGTCCGGACATTATAAAAATCCCATGGAGAAATGTATGTGATTTACTGGAAAGAGAGGATTATTTGTGTGTGTATTTGTGTGTGCTTTACTGATAATGAAAGTTATTTGTGTGTGATTTTCCCCCCCTTCTTGTCCTCACTGGTTGTTGTAAAGGCGGAGGCAGCAGGAGGGGGGAGTGAGGCTTTCAATCACTTTAACAATTTTTTTTCTCTGCTTTGAGTTTTTGCCTCAACAAAGATGAGGCTGGAAAATAACTTTTTTATAGGTTACATAGTTTCATCTCCTGATTTTTTAGCAATTTTCACACAAAGGAGCCTCAGATAGATAGGCTGAGATTGGCAAATTGCCTGGAACGTTATCTATACAGGTGGCTCAGTTCCCAGGTTGGCAGTTGGCCTGGAACCATTATCTTTGAAGATGGCTCAATTCCCAGTTTCAGCAAGGGGAATCAAAATTTAAAATTAGCTGCACTCTGTACATGCTCTTAATCCATATTTTGATTAAAGCAGAAAATTAACACTAAAATTTGACTCCATCAGGAGGATTTACAGCAAGAATGTGAAGAATGCATGGCTATTGCCAGCACAACAGGTAAAATCATGAAAGGTTTACAATGGGCTTTTCAAATAACTTTTTCTTCTAAATTTTGATAAGTACAATAAGGTATAAATGGTGGAGTTGTGTAAATCTGATTTTCAATTTTATTTTTAGAAAAACTTATCTCTTCAATGTCCTTTACCTATGTAAGCTGTATTGTTTGACTAAAGAACTTTGGCTTGCTTGCTTAATGACTTCTTCCTTTCCTGTCCTTACAAGGATCGTCATGATGATACCTGGAAAGTGTCCTGCTATTTTAACTTTCAAAACTTTTTCTCAACAGCCTTTTGATTTCATCTCTGACTCTCATTATGTGTATCAACTTATTTTTAAACTTCCAGGTGCTTATATCACGCCCAGAATTGATCCTAATCTCATCGCCTTGTTTTTAACTTTGCAGTAATAGCTACTACAAGACCGAAGATATTTCTCACATTCGTAGTCATTCACCCATTCCTGGGCCTCTTTCTGAAGGCAATAGCTTTGCTGAGTTTTTTTCAGTCACTCTTTTTTTCCATCAAAATGCTAGAGGCCTGGCAAAAGCTTGCCATATTCCAGTTAATCAAGCCAAGCAGATTGTTTCATCCTCAACTTTGGCAAATGGATGTTACCCACAAGGCAAGCCCTCTTTTTTACAACATGATATTTGGCTTTTTTGCAATTTTGTACAACCTGGAATATAGCCAGAATGGAACATGCTCATCGATCATTTAAGGCCTGTCTCCACAAATAAATAAAAAAGGAGGGAAAGGGTCTCTAAAAAGTTTTAAAAAGTAGTTTTAAAAAGTATTATTTACCTTAAATCAATTGAATGCAATTGAATGTTTCTATTTACCTTACATTAATTGAATGTCCTTACATTAATTGAATGTACCTTAAATTAATTGAATGTTTTAGTTAACTATTTGGGGCCAAGGGCGCAGGGCTGTGTTGTTGTGTTTGCTCCTACAGGATCTTTGTGGATTCCAGCTTGTTGTGTCTGCCTAGCCAAGAATGTCTACACCAATCCCCGGATCTGGTCCCAGTCCCAGGAATTTCACTTTACAGATGGCACAATGTCCAATCCAGGCTCATTTGTTTATGCTTGATTGTTTACAACATCAGTGGCTGTCATTTCACACAAACACTCACTTGAGCAATGAATGAAGTAAAACTTATGGGTGCAATTGGCTAACATCAGACAGAATGATGTGTTTTGCTTATCTGAAACCTATGATATGGAAAATTTGCTTTCTACATGTTTAGTTCCTGTCTGCACTCCTTCTGCAGTAATTAAAAACTTCAGGATTTGCTGCTGATTATGCAATTGCTTTACACACCTCAATGGTAGCAGTCCCTGTAAATATAACTTGCGCAAAAGTAGTTAATTGTACATCTTCAAGTAAAAAACCTCAGTCATCGCATTAGCTCACCTACTTTGAACTGGACAGCTTTTGAAGAGACTTTAACTTTGCTCATGTTTGGCTACCGCAAGGATGGTTTTTTACATGTGGTCAAGAAACTTTTAATTATATTCCTGCTAATATTAGTGAAGCGCAATGCTGTCTCAGCCGGCTGATTCCTGTTTTGCTTTCTAAATAACCAATTCATCACTTGAATCGTTCTCAACGTGAGGTCACACTAGATACACTTGTGACTCTGAAGGAACTTTTTCTTATCCAATAATACACAGCTCAAAAACATAAAGGGAACACTTAAACAACACAATGTAACTCCAAGTCAATCACGCTTCTGTGAAATCAAACTG